TGGCGTCTAGATCAATTTGCCATCTAAATCTGGCAACATTTTTTTTGGTCAAAATTCATGTGAAAATGGGAGCCTTAAATATCCTATATAGACATAGGTCCAAATTCCCCTACCTTATAACTTGGTCAAATTTCATCCGATTTTCATAAGGTTTGGCTTTTTGTTCATGGCTTGGTCTCTTAATCAATTTGGCATCTAAATTTGGTAACATTATTTTTGGTCAAAATTCATGTAAAAACCGTACCCTCAATTTTCGTATATAGACTAACATAGGTCGAAATATCCCACCCCCATTGCTAGGTCAAATCACATACATACAAACAAACATAAATACATATATATGTACATCGCCCATTTAGGGGTGACTTTTATATGATCACCTTTCACTCAATCATTTGATCAGTCTGGGCAAAAAGTTTTAACTATGTATATAAATGAAACAACTGTATATAACCTGTTGCTATCTGGTCCTGGTGCGTTTTTTAAACCAAGTATGCACGAGTATTACTCATGGGTTTTCCCCAAAGAAACAAAAACTGCACATCCGTCCAGTTTAGTTGACTTGGTTTAAGGTGTGCCACATAATCCCCATAAAATATAAGTCAAGGTGCTAAGTTGTACCCAGCTTGGGCCATAGAGCATTCAACCTATTGTTCAAAGATTCTTTATGACGTCATCGAGCGGTGCCGTTCAAAGTTTTGTCCGATCCACTTGATTTACACAATGTTAAGTCATTGATCAAACACTTGTGCCTTGTAATTTGTAAGGCACACTCATTTACTCTTTATACTTACTAACTACACCCTGTACTATTTCCTCATTATCTTTTAATGGTGCCCAAGTCGCGGTGTCAATCCAAAGTACAACACACGATTTCCGAGTGGCTCGCGTTAATAGCCCAAGAGTTGAGAGTTGAGCCGCTGAAGAATTTAATTGCTCGCGAGTGTTTTCTTTATGAATGGAAGAAATCGCTGGCCTGTGCAAAGTACAATCGAGTGTTTCCATAAGTCGCAGCGCTATGTGGAACACGTAATACGGAAGGAACCGAACAGCATTTGTACTTGGCATAGTTAGCTGGGGTATCTAAAATGGAACACATACTTAGGTTCTTTTCGAGTATTTCTTATTCTAATAATACGCACTTAAATAAATTCACTGTCTTTTTTCTCAAATACTTTGACTTTCTAGCTTGATATGTCATCAGCTATAAGCGCTTATCAATTGCTTTATCTAGGCCCTTAAATTCGCAGTGCTATCTAGAGAATATAAATATTTATAGGTAATTTATAAAAATTTAAAAAGAGTAATACAAATATTTCCGTTTTTTCTAGCTAAAAATGATCTAAAACAAAAATTAAATATATAAATAAATATTTAAAAATAATATATTTAAAAAAAAATATATTAAATATTACGAAAAAGGGCAAATATAAGTAATTATATGTAATTGAAGGTTTAAAGTAATAATAAAAAGATTTTAAAGTTTTTGTCTAAAAAAGAAAAAATTTAAATATAAATAAAATGATGTAAGAAAATATTTATGTGTTTATATAAAATGTTTAAAACTATATTTAATACTTAAATATATTTAAATTATATTATATATTAGAACAAAACATATATTTTTATTAAAAAAAGGGTTTATTCAATTCAAAATATTTCACTTCCCAGAGTTCTTATTGCAATATTTGAATAAATGCGCTTCCGTCCGGCCTCTCTAACCATTTGATCTAAGGATTTACAGTCTGAACCAGAGATAAGGGCAACCAATCGTAATCGTGGCCAGCTCTCGAATGAAATGAATGCAAAAAATATTCGAATGTATGCAGCAGGCCATACAAATTGAGCTGTGAATATGTGTGTTATCTTTTAACATATTTAAATACTCATTAACAACGGCAAAACAGAAGTTCGATAAAGCGTCAGCAACAACAACAACAACAATAAATTTAGCACACTCGGCAACTAAGCTCAAAACATACAATACTCGTACACATTTTTTAAACAAAGAAAAGCAACAACAACAAGAACAAGAAGAAGAACAGAGTTTACATAGACGTCGAACCCGATGACAACAAATCGAATCAAGTGCAAAGACTTTGCCCTATGACTACACTATACGAATACGCGTACCCAGTTATATTCATTCCATATATATACGTGTAAATGGGCTAAAGTAACTCTTGGCTAACGAAATCTTTGTATTTTTGCGTTTGGGGCGTTTCTCTGAACACAAAACGCACGTCTCGCAGCGCCTGGCAAATTCAATAATAATAATAATAAAATACATGTATGAAAAAAAAGTTTTCAAAGATAACGTTCTCACAGTGCTCCGGTTTATCAAAAGCACGAACAACTGTTTTTATGGCACCTGATAAATCCAATGTGTATACAACGTCAAGCTGCTTAAAATTATGAAATCGAACGGTAATTGTTCAAAGTTTATCTTACATGAGCGTAGCTACCAGCTGCGAAATTCAATGCAGCTGACCTAAATGATACCCTGTACAATATATGAAAATGTGAATGAAGCCAAGTAAGAATATGCTTAAAGAGCTAAAGAACAAAACAAAAGTTATCGTAGCGTACATTTGATATGAGAGATGTAAATGCTTAGTCAGAAATACCCTGTATATTGTTAGAAAATGTAGATTATTATATAATTAAAAATAAATAAATAATAAATTATCGCCTGTTTTAAAAAAGTACTGAAATTAAGATAACATTATGAAAACTGAGTTAAGGAGGAAATACCCTGTATATAAAATATGCAGTTTATTATCAAATTTTTAAAAATCTCCTAATTAAAAAAAAATAGGAAAAAAATTTTTTTTTAAGAATTAAGAAATTTACTGAAATAAAGATAAAATTAAGGATAATATTTTGACTGTAAAAAAACAAAGATGTCACTAAAGTAAGAAATACCCTGTAAATAAAATATATAGATTAAATTGTAGTTTACATAAATTTTAAAAAAATTAGAAAAAGTTTTTATTAGACTAAGGACATTTACTGAAATAAAGATAAATTTAGGGAAATTCTGTTAACTGTGCAAACAAAAGTGTTAATGTAAGAAATACCCTGTATATTGTTTAGATATGTAGATTGTTATATAATTTTGGAGGATCGACACTATTTAAAAAAATATATAAATTGTTTTTCATTTGAGAAAGTAAAATACAACTAGGGAAATTGTGTTTGCTGTAGAAACAAAAGTATATGTATAGTTAAGATATGTAGATTATGATATTATTTTTGAAAATAGCATATTTTTAATCAAATCTGAACAAGGCATTTACTGTAATTAAGAAACAAATACAAATGAACAAAATTGAGTGAACGGAACAAACAAAAGTGCTCTCAAAATAAGTTTAAATACATTTTTAAAAAACTTGTATCACAAAGAATTAGAATTCCGATAGTTAAGTTTTTGGTTCTTATTTGAGGAATGGAATGCTTATGACAAGGTGGGAATGCAAAAAACAGAACCTTATCGTATTGATTTGACTCCATAACAGTTGTGCTGAGAAATTCTATAACAAAATAATCTGTACTTACCTGCCGCTGCAAAAGTCTATATGTTTTAAGTCCTCAATACAAATACATTTTCGAAATTTTGAGTTTTTTTTCATTAAGCATATTTATAAGAAGAATTTGTATATAAGAATTTTATAAAGAACAACAGAAGAAATAACTATAATAAGATAAAATATATTAAATGGTTTTAAAAGAAAATAAATTTTGCCCGTCTATACTTTTCTACTTTACTCAAATCTTTTCAAAAAACCCAGCATATAAGTTATGCTATAATAATAATCTGTAAATTATTAATAAAATAAAATATGCATATATCACGTTAGATGGTTTTCAAAATGTCAGATCATTTACAGATCTTAAGTTTAAAGCTTATCTTTAAGTACATAACAAACCTGATGACATTTTCACTAAGCCCCCCGCAAGAGTATTTCAAAAAGATATTTAGCCGGCTGTAGGCGACGTCGTCGTCAACGTCGACGTCGCTGTCGCTGCTGAGACACTTGTCGATCTCGGGCTGCGCTGCCGATATTGATAAGGACTATCGGGGGCGAACGGCAGCGGGAGCGGGAGCGGGCGCGGCAGCAAATGCTGCCTGTCAATTGAACATGAAAATGAAAATATAAAACACACGATAATAGCTGAAATTTTCGGCTCCGTTATCAGGCGTAGAAATTGTTTAACTTGGACTTTACTCGCAAGGGAAACAATAAGTATCCAACTAGTTACCATGAATGTAGCCGGGCTGCCGCCTTATCGCTGTCAATGAGTGTTGTGGCCTTTGTTTTTGTCAACTTGGCAAAGTTGAAACTTATTTATTGCGCCGCTCGACTTAGGTTCAAGACTGGAGCTTACCTCGTGTGCGCAGGCCGGGTCAGCGATCACCGTAGAGCACGCTGATCGCTGATGACGCCATAAAACTGACCCACAAAACCAGGTGTGCCCTCTGTCAAGGGGCGTAAGGTGATTGGCAGACGTTGCTTTATGATACGCAGCGCCTGATAAGAACTTGAGGCTAACAGCCAAAGCTAACTGGATATCTATCCTAAAAGAAAAAAAGAAAAAAACACAAACATATTACTAGAATACAAATACAATTTTCATAATCTTAAGCTGTTGCGATCGAGTCATGCCCAAGACAAGCCGACTGAGCCGTGAACTTCGACGTCGACGGCGACTGCGACGACGACAGCGACGACGACAGCGGCGGCGACAGCAATGGATCGGACGCTGCCTTCGTATTTGTATTTGTGCTTGTATTTGCGATAGCCGCTTGTGTCGATCGTCGCTGCTGCGACGCCTTATACACACACACACACATATATATATATATGGGTGTGCACATGTATGCAATACATATAGAGGTAAACGTTAACTCGTAAGGGTTTTTCAAAAGCAAATTTCAGTTGGTATAAAACACACGAGTCGCGAGGAAGCAGAACCAGAACGCGATTGAATTCCGTTAGAGCAGGAAAAACATAAAACAAAAGCTAAGATATATAAAAGCGCGTTTGCCGTTGAACATTTCACGCCCATAGGTAAATACGAGGCATGACTTATTACTGAAAATTACTGTCAACATCGAAAGTTGGATTTGCGTTTGGCTGTGTTCAAGTTTTTTTTTTCAAATTGAGCACAATTTGAAAATTGCTCCGTGATCGTAAACTAATTGAAATGCATTCTGAAACACGCAGGCTAGCCGGAAAATCAAACATCTAACACACTCACACATTCCACACACACACACACACACACACACAACATGGCCGAAGTGGACATCAGCGAGGAGGCTTTCCATTTGCGCATCGGCTACCTGAAGCCGGAAACTAAGGAGATTGCACGCGCCGAGCTGCGGGAAACGGATGAGGTGAAGGCGGAGGCCATCAAGAAGCTGCGCGAACTGCTTAAAGCCACGCCAGAGATCAACTACAAGGATGACGACGCCTTTCTCACCATCTTTCTGCGCGCCACCCACTTTTATCCGGAAAGCGCTTTGGAGAAGGTGCGTATCAAAAATGCCAGAAAATCTTAAGATCTTAAGTGAAAAGTGAAGTTCCTCAAACTGAAACAAAGTCAAATCGGGGACTTATTTTCAGCTGTGATATACTCCATTGAATCTTTTTGTGGCTGCAACATGCAATTCCTGCTGATAGCTAAAGATATTTCAACTCCGGTTGACCCAAATATAATTACAATGCGGTTCAGATATAGTATTCAATATCGATACTCTTCAGATTTTGCTAATAAATAAAATGCTAACCACATTTAGAACACACATATGCCACAAAATGATCCTGAAAACTTACACACTATCTACGATCCAAGCACGATCCTTATGAATACTTTAGCAATTACAATTCAATGTAATAATATAATAGGAATATATAAATTTATTTTATTTCATTTCGAAAACATGTCTATCTAAATATAAAGCACATCTGCTTCACACACGATCCACCAAGTCTCCTCGGTGTAAAGAAACTTTAACTTGCTCCACCCACATATCATCCACTCGGAACATGCGATTCGCATTGTATTTGCCATAAAATACTTTTATTGATCGCCTTATCACTCGGTCTGACATACCCAATGACCCCCAATAAGACAACTGGCTGCACAAAGCAGGGTCTACAACCTCAGCTTTGTGTAATCTGAGCGAAACCCGAGCTCCAGAAATAAAAACAACGAGACCTAGAAAGAAGCGCTATCTTCGCATGCCGAAGTTCAAATACCCTTGGGGCTGGGAAAGTTAGGGTATTTCAAAGCAAAGCTTGATTTGGCACCAATTATTTATATACAAGCCACATATGTCATGAGAATAGTTAAGCTCGTACTTGCTGAGTTAAGTTGAAATCAAAAAGTTTTTAAAAAATTAAATTAATATTTAATTTAGTTATGTTCCTATGGCAGCTATATGATAAAGTGTTGGGTTTGATCAAGTTATCTTAAAACAAAAAATAACAAAATATTTTTTCATAGAAAAGAATTTAGTTTTCGCCTGTTCCAATGGCAGCTATTGGATATATTCGACCATGATAGGGAGATTTATTCAGATATGTTGAAAAACAAAACACTTTCTTAAAAAAGAATTTTATTTTATGTTAGGTATTCCCAGCGATACAATATAGGGTTCCTAAGTAGTTCATATTTTGTAGATGTATAAGGATCATGGTGAAACTTACAAATGCCAGGTTGGGTCAAGATATATTTGAAAAACAAAGGAAATTTTTAATATGTTACAGATATATATCAGGAAAAATTTCGGACACAAGAAAAGATCATGGGGAAGCATTGATATCTCAAAAACCAATTGGGTTATATAGTGGTCCGATCCAGCCGGATTGTATTTGCTGATCAAGAATATATTCATTTTAACTTTTCATCTCATTATCCATTTTGAGTCAAGAAGCGTAATACCCTCTACAAGGTTATAGAAAAGAAAAGGAATAGCTTGACTGATCGCCACATTTGTCGCTAGGCCGATTTAAGACGTGGAACGACGATTCTCGTATTGATACGCTTTGAACTCGCTGACACACATGGAAAACAAAAAAAAAATAACAAAAAATAAAAACTTAAAGCACAAGCGATAAGCGTTGCCCAAGTATTCCTATTTAATGTACATGCGTGTCTATGTGCACACACACACACACACACACTCACACACATTCAAATGGATGTTGAGCACAGACTAGTTAAACGGAGCGAATACATAATGCAAGCGGCTGCTGTTGTTGGCCATGACGTGGCTTATGGAACTATTTGTTGGATTCGATCGTAAACCCACGCGCCATTTTTATCATGACATAGTTTTTTATGGCCGTCCAATGGTCGGCGCAGAAAGACGCTGTTATCAGGGCCCGTAATTTACCTGTTTGCCACCTTTTGCCGGTCTTTTGCAGATGAAAAGCACCGCCGCCTTCCGCAAGGAATACAAGGATTTGGTGCATGGCCTGCAGGTGGAGCAGGTGAAAGAGCGCTTCATCAAGGGCAGCGTCATCAATGTGCTGAAGAACTGCGACCAGAAGGGGCGACGCGTCCTCATTGTCAACTGCGGCAAACTCTGGGATCCGAGCACGGTGCCCAGCGATGAGATGTTCCGCATGCTGTACATGGTGCACATTGCCGCCCAGCTGGAGGAGGAGACCCAAGTGCGCGGCGTCGTCTGCATCATGGACTTCGATGGCCTGGCCATGAAGCAGGTGAAGGCGCTCTCGCCCAGCTTCTCCAAGCGTCTGCTCACCTTCATACAGGACGCCATGCCGCTGCGCATGAAGGAGGTGCACTTCGTCAAGCAGCCCTTCATCTTCAACATGGTCTGGACGCTCTTCAAGCCCTTCGTCAGGGAGAAGCTGAACAAGCGCGTAAGTTGCCCGCCCACGCTTGATCCATATTTTGTTTGCCAGCACTGACTAACTCCTTCTTCTCCAGATGCACTTCCATGGCAGCGACATGAAATCCCTGCACAAGTTCCTGGATCCCTCGGTGCTGCCGGCCAACTACAAGGGCACCTTGCCAGCCATCGATTACGGCGGCCTCGAGTGGTTCCCCACGCTCGAGCAGCAGGCCGAATATGTGAACACCTGGAGCGAGCTGGGACCCGCCGAATGGTAGAAATTAAAGTCCTTGGGCAGCCAGCCCAACATTAGTTAATGTGTGTAATTATAAATATATATGTTTTTGATTAGTTCTTAGCACTTGACAATAAACTAGTTACATAATGCAATATTCAGAGACTTTAAATTAAAACTGAACTAAGAAAATGAAGTATAAATAGACTAAATAGAAGGCTACAAGCCGATTTAAGGTCAGAGTTCAAATTTATTTTTAGATTTGAACCGAACGTTAAATCAAACCAGTTGGCCAAAAAAGAGCTTAACAGACAAAAAAGCTTTGCTTAAAAATTAAAAAAAACTTTTAAGGAAGAATCTGCCTTAAAGCATATATAGCTTGAGCCCCAAAAATTGGAATAATCTAAGATATTTGCCAATTAGGGATATGATCATCAAATTTTGTTTTTGGTTTGCATATATGATGCACCGCAAATACATCCCTTAGATAAATAGAGTGTAGAGCAATATAGGGCCTTTAAGCTGGATCAAAATTTCAGATCTAAAGGTGACCAAGTAGTATTGCATAAAAATGCATTTAAAGACTTGAATATGCAAACGAGCATCCTTCTGGCAAGAATTCACTAATGATACTTACACTTCAATTGACTTAAATAACGACATAAAATACTAGGAATTAATAGCACGTATTCAAAATTATCAGAAGACGCGTCGAAAATATATCAGCTCGCATTCTTATATTCAAACAACAAATGAATACTAAAAGAATAGAGCTTCAACAAATAAAGGGTATACAAATCGCTGATAGCCCCCATTATAATAATCTGGACATATATACTATTTAACACTCTCAGTTCTAGATTCCACACATAAATGCCAGTTTCTGTCTATTATGATTAGAATTCAAATTAGTTTTAAACAATAAACTTATTCCTTTTCAATTGAGTAGTAAAACATTTTCTAAAATCGTCTAATGAATCCTCATCCCCAATATATATCAAATTCGTTTCTAATTCTGAATGAAGTTTTACATTTATATTTCAGCCGAAATATAATAATAAATCAATTTATGTTATTATATTTCATGCACTGTCTTTGCAACCAAATATGGCAAATATACAATTTCAAATTTAAAGAGCCAATAAATTTCCTTAGACTTGCTTTATGTAAACCCATATATAAACCTATTATAGTTTCTGTTATTTTTTAATAGCTCACTAATATATTGGGATATTTCAGTCATTTTAAGCGCATCATGAGTTCTCCCCCTTTGGGTTTCCCCCTTTGGGGTTCTCTAACGGAGCGAATAGCAGAAAAAATTTGATATAATCACAAATGTCAAGCAAAAAGCTTTGATTGATATTGGATTTAAAGTTTCTCTTATTTTAAACGAGATAATCGCAGGAGGATCAATATAACAATATTTTTTATAATTTAAGGAACATCGAGTTATATTTATCATATATTTACAGAGGAAGAGAGAGAGAGATTGAGGCAGGATATAAGAAAATCATACAATCATATCGAGAGCTTCCCCCGCAGTCGAATAATTGAATATCGCGAATTCGTCAATTCCAATTTAAGCTACTTGTTATTTAAGAATAGGATACTACATACATGTGCTTTGTTTATTAAACGACTTTGGACATTCCAATGTTATTATTTATGATCAACAGATGAGTTATGGCATAACATTATGTTGGTAATATGCATATTTAACGAAAATTTACAATGTTCAATTTGAGTTTGCGTTCTTGAGTAAAATCATATCGATTACCATCCTGTTAAAAAATACGTCGATATAACACAATTAAATATATAAGCGCTAAAAGTTGAGTGAATGCCATACTTAGGCCAAGACACAGAACGCAGGCCGTGGGCAGCAAATCAATTGAACAATATACAATATTTATATATATAATTAAATATATATAAAAATAACACCGAAAGTATCCAGCAGCTTGTGAGCCAGTTTGTGATCGTTGACATCTTCATTCAGAATTTACAAAATCTCTGGCCAGCTGACGCGGACTTCGTCGTAATTTACAGTATCATAGTTTGTGGATCCTCCATGTAGTCGCGGAAATGTTTCAGCCAAACGGCAGCCACGGCGCCATCGACCACTCTATGATCGGCACTCAGCGTTACGGTTAGCATATTAACTTCCTTGAATCTACATTTGGGGCATAAAAAAAGCACAAGATTAGAGCCGGACAAAATTTTGATTTATATAGTTGCACTACCCCTTGATGCTGTCCGGATCCAATACGAGTTTTTTCGTTGTTGTGCCAATGGCCAAGATGCAGGATTGCGGGGGATTAATGACGGCGCAGAACTGATTGACACCTGCAATATTTAAGAAAAGTTAACGAAATGCTCTATAATAATCTTATAATGTCCTTACCGAACATGCCCAAATTGGACACGGATATGGTGCCGCCCTGGAATTCATGTGGCTGCAGCTTGTTAGCGCGCGCCTTGCCCGCCAGCTCCTTTACGTTCTTCGAGATTTCCAGCACACCCTTTCGGTCGGCACCGAAGATAATGGGCGTAATGAGCCCCTTTTCTGTAGAGACAGCCACAGACACGTCCACATCGTCGAATTGCCTTATGAATGAGTCCATCCACGCCGAATTCGCTTCGGGCACCTTGCGACTGGCAACGCCAACAGCCTTGATGATGAAATCGTTAACGGAAACGCGTGCGCCCTCTTTCTCGTACTTTTTGTTTACTTGAGCGCGCAACTTCAATAGCTGCAAATGAGAAAATCAAAATTGTTAGCCTTCGATTCTATGGGTTTATATCAAAAAGAAATGCTATTATATATAATTAACGGTGAATGTTTTCATTTATGTGTACAGCTAACTAATCTAAATCTAATAAAACATTTGCTGAAAGAACTATCATAAAAGGTGTTGTTTTCAATTATCATAATACAATCTCTTACATTAATTAATTGCTAGAGCAATGCCCAAACCCAAACCGAACGATATTTTTTGAGCATTATTTAATTTTTCGGAGACTTGCAAGAGATATTTTTTAAATTAATTGTATTTTAACGTGGCTGCCAATTTTGAGTAAGGATCATAATTAAGAGTTTAACTTTATGTAAAAAATGTAGACAACACAATATTTTCTATCAAATTTTGTTTTTTGGCTTAAATGTCCATTTTGTACGTATTTTATGCAATTATATATGCAATCAGCTAGCCAAGGCTACCTAGGAGAAATAAGCTCACATCCCTGTTCAAACATATTATAAATAATCTTGATTTGCATTAGCTCTCGAGTGAATGTCTCAATCTCAATAACTAATCTCAGTTTGTTTTCACTATATTGTTGAACAATATATTAGCATACATATTATTAGCGTATCTATCATAATTGCCTGCCTTTTTGCACTTACCTTGTCCACCTGGCATTCGACGGTTACATAGTAGTGTGGCAGCTTCTGCTTGGACTCCAGCAGGCGCTTGGCAATGACTGCGCGCATGGTGGTCACTGGGATGTCCTTGAAGCGGGCACCGGGCGCGCCGGCCGCAGCCTTGGCAGCTGGCTTCGTTGCTGGTTGCGAGGCTGCAAGATCACCAGATTTAAGTGAGCCATGGACGCCGGAACCTTTGCCTGCACAAAAGGCCAGGATTAGTAACGAACAGTACGAGCAGTGTTTGGATTAGTGGAGATGCGGTGCATGCACACAGCGGGATACGGGATTAGTGATAACAACCTTGTAAACGCAGCTTTTGAGTTTCGGCTAATTTCTTGGCCATGGGACTTGCATAGACACGACCGCCGCTTGGCGCGGAAGCGGTACCTGGTGCGGCATCTGGACTTGATGCGGGTGCTGCTGCTGGCGCTGGTGCGGGAGCGGCAGCGGCAGCGGGTGCTGGAGCCGGTGCAGCTGCTGGCGGTGGCGGTGGAGGCGCTGCCGCAGCAGCAGCCGGTGCTGCAGCGGGAGCATCATCAACGAAATCCTTAAAGGCAGCAATGCTGGCCTGATCGGGCACGATGATGCACACCAGCTTGCCAACGGGCACATCCTTGGAGCCACCGGGCACTAAAATCTTGGCCAGATAACCCTCCTCGGGCGTCTCGAAACCCATCGTGGCCTTGTCCGTTTCGATTTCGCACAGCAGATCGCCTGCAAGAGAATAGTTATATTATTTTTTACTACCTGATCGATAAGGAGATGGAAATCTTACCCTCATTTAGCTTATCGCCTTCCTTCTTCTCCCAGCCCACAATGGAGCCGCGATCCATGGTAGGCGACAGGGCGGGCAGCGGCACGCGTATATGTTCCGGCAAGTTGGCGTAGGCACGGGCGAAATTGTAGCCCCATGGCGACAGTGTTTGGGGTCGGCTGAGAATCGGCTTGCCATTTGGTGATGACCTACAGTTTAGATTCAGATTAGGTTAATCATTCCGATCGACTGCGATTGACAGGCGCTATCATCAGCTGATGGCTGTTATCGATAACACGCAAACAAAATGTAAACAATTGCAGTTGGCGAATGCCAATCAGAATTTTGTTTGAAAATTCGCTGCCAGCGCTTATCAGTGGCGATTAACCAACGGTATCATGCGACGCTCATTTGACAGTCACGCACTGGACGCACGCACGCACGCACACACACACACACACATACACACTCGCACACACACACACGCACACAAGTGCATATTGGCACCCGCTGCCCGCCGGCCAAGCAGCCCGCCCACTGGGTGGGCTATGCGCTGCAGCCTCGCATTTGCAATATTACACAACACACTTTCTAACCTCAACGCGAGCGGTCGCAACTAGAATTGCAGCCTTTTACCTGATTGCCCAATGGTTGCGTGTGCTGCTCAGGGCTCGGACTCCAAAGTTGGCTCCACGTCGCACCGCCTGTGCTCTGAGAAAGACGGCGCGTAGGGCGCCCAATTCATTTCGTTTCGCAGCGATTGAGCGTAACATTGTCCTTTATTGTTTGTGGCCGACGTCTGTTACTGTTCTTTCAACTGACACGCGATAATGTTAGTGTTCTTTTTGCTTTTAATTGAGTAGTTTACTACACGTTTTAGTAATTTAGATGAATAAATCGTATCGAATTCGGAGTCGAAAAATTTAAACCAAAGGTTTGCCAGCAGCCGACCTTATTTAACGCCACTAGGTCACAA